TGATACGTTGAGAATGAAGCCATCTGGCAATTGATTGCAAAACACTTGGAAATAAATTAATTACGTTAACTGCGTATCAAAAAAATTATCTGTCACGTGCTTCTCGTCGGGTCCTCATCATGACCCTGAGCCGCCACGGCATTTTTAAAAAAAGTTCCTTAGTCTAAAACATTTGGTATAAAAGTTAATTGTAGCGACACTTAGCGACAACGCTTTTGCTATGGGACAAACTGCTTTATTGTTGACCCATATAGTCGAACACTGTAGAAAAATGTACAACTTTTTTATACTACTTCGATGTCACTATTTAACCTTTTAAATTACTGAAGAGCTAAGCTGACACTCCTATTTCAAGCATGGTCTTGCGACAGTCGATTATTAGTTCCGTTAATTAATGCTTAATAGGTTCCTTCCTTTATATGAGTCTCGCAAGCAGTAGTAACGTTTGTAATTTTTATATGCCGATATTGCGCGTTTAATATTGACCGACCGTATTGGTCAGATAGATCCTCATTTTTACTAAAAAATTAGTTTCCTCTATAGATACGATAATTAATATGGAAAATATCTCATTTTGATTCAATATGATTCTAATGACAAAATGTCTCACATTTTCGAAAATGTAACGTACACTCAGCGACGACTGTATGCTACTAAGTAATTAATGTATAAAAGAGTAACATGTAAGTGACTTTAGCTATTTTCATTTGCAATTGGGTTGTTTCCAATGATTAGAGTTAATCCCAAATGATGTAATTAAAAAGTCCCTGGGACTTCTATCAGGACCTAAATTTATTTCGAACCTGCAGTATTTCAGTTCAAAATCTGGCTTGAGAAATCGGCGGCCTACATCCATTTTGTGCCTCCGATGCAACTGTGGTCATAAAATCCAAAGTATAAACATCATTTTTGCATGACCGTACTTTGGTAACTCGAATTAAGCTCACTTTTCATTAGATATGTACACACCAGGCGCCAGTGACAAGTAAATCACCCCACCTACAGCTGATGCTTCCCATGCACGAGTCTTGCAGCAATCGCTGTTTTGCTGAACCAAAGTTGAACCCTCGAGAAAATTTCTCCAAATAAACAAGGGAGAGTTGATGAGACGAGAGCTGTCCTCAAGGTCGAACCAGAGCACACAGAGATACGAATGCAAGATATAAATTAATAATATTCTTCAAGTTGTCTTAATTAAAAATGTTTCAACACTTAGAAAATATGAGCGTCCTTGAATTTGTAGCCTAATATATAAATAAATTGAGCCAGAGTAAGCTTAGCATACACTGATCTTCAAATTAAAATTGATAATTTCTTTGAACTGTAGCTATTTGTTGAATTCAACAAAATCCAAGTGGTCCATCAAACCGATATGGGGAATAATAATGGCGCCGTTTCATCAGTTAAATGTGTTGAACTCAGTTATTTTCGAGGTCAGAATCGAGCAGACTGAGAATTGAAACTTTTCTACAGTTATGATGTGTCAAATACAATCATGAACAAGTAAGATAACTAGACCTAATGTAAATATTTTAACACTGATAATACGAATTAAAAAAGTCTGAAAAAAGTAGAAGTAAAAGTGATAATACGAATTAAGAGTTATAATTCATGCGCTGTGTAGATCAAGATCAAAGTGTTGCCAAAGTAATTGTAATGTAAACTCATCGCGATTGTAATACACTATTCACCATCCGGCTCAGCACACAGAGGAAAAAATACAAAATATGGCAGAAATTTACAAATATAATGAATAGAAAATTCTGATGTCACTCGTTTGCTTGAATCGCATATTCACTAAAAACTTAAAAGCAAAGAAAACTCCACAAAAATTCATCATATCTTTATTGAAAACGTTTCGGAGTCCAGCTCTATCGTCAGTTCGAAAATTCTAGAACAGTGATAAATCAGTAATTAGTGCAGTCAAGATAACAAAAATGAAACTTGAAAGGTAGATCCTACCTATTTACAGTTCAATTGGGTAAGAGCTAAAAGCTGAATTAAAACTAGGCATCTGTTAAAAAAATATACAATGATTCTAAAATTCGCAAATCGGAAACCTTGAAGTCACTATCAGAAATTGGAACATAGCACTGCTCGGCGTGAGCGCGCACAGCCGAATGAGGAGGGCGTGATAGTTAGTAACCACCAGTTCTACAACTCCTCCTCTTATGTTCTGCGACCCTAGAATAAAGATTGGAAGACGTCATCCCGACGTACGTAGATGCACATCGTGCACAACTATGTTTATAAACTTGGGACGCTCGCATATGCATAGGGAGGGTATCTTTGTAACTAAATTAGAACCGATTTTTATATTGTTCATCAATAAAATATGGAATTAACATTTTAGAAGTACTTTGAGAACAAAAGTTCTAGCTCCCTTGACATAGTTTCAGATGCAGGGCTGAAGTATGGAAGAGAGCAATAAACGACACGCCTACTGTTGCACTCAGGAGCAACCTCATTGTACCGCTTGGACGCGAATTTCTTTACTTGGGTAAACATCAGATTAGTCGGAATTGCTTAAAAATTCACATTCAGCGTGCAGAGCATGATAATTAGAACAAATACGAAAGCCCCGATGAAAAAGTATATGAAGCCCATTAAACTTAAATCGAAACGAACAACAGCTAAAAAGCTGGTAATGAAACCTGTGAAAGTCGATTTTCGGAAGAAAGAAGTCTGGAAACGTCCTTTAGATTTCATAATATTGCAATCGAGGAAGGATAGGCTATTGGTAGATTGAAGCTCCGTGGTAAATTTTATGGATTTATGTTGCGAGTTTAGGTAATCGAAAAAGTGTTTCACGTAAGAGGGATGCCTAAAAATTAAAAAAAGTGTCATCAACGTATCGGCTGTAGAATATTGACTTAAAATCCAGAAGGTAATTGGACAGCCAAGAAACTTCGTGAAAAATACAAAAAAATTTTTGCAAACGTTGGGCCGAGCGGAAGACCCATCCCAAACCGTCAATCTCGTCAAACCGTCTCGTCTTAATTGTTTGCAGGCGTATTCCTCAATATTGACAATGGAACTATAGTTTACTCGGCTGCGACCAGCGTTTCCATATCTTTTCCTCAAATTTTCCAAAGTCAAATCTTCAACTGTACTTTCCTATTATCCGTCTATAGAGTATAATCCCTTCTACTTATTTCTTCTATGCTTCAGATTTACAACCTTCGAACAGCATTAACACTGAGACGTATCCAAATCTTTGGTTCGTTTCTTATTCTTTATAAATTATTGATTATTTGTTTCATATTCATACTTAATTTGTTCATTAAACAGATAGAATTTTTCGATCGATAATGAACGGTGTTAATTTTAATTTGCAATATCGGGGACCCGTCGGGTCGACGCCATTACGGACATTTTTTCACCGTATTTGATGGTTTTATATACTTCAGCATATAAGCCTTTTAATTCAGCTGTCTTATTATACTGGCCATATCAACACCAGTAGCACCTGCAGATCGTCAGTTTTCAATTAATATCAGCTGAATCTATTATTGCTGTATTTTGTCTCATTGTGTGAGTTAGTGATATAATTCGTCACACCACCAGCATGCACTCCCACTCGATTTATTGACATTTTACTGTCGATTGTAGGCAACCACACATTGTTACGCCACCTATAATTTACCACATCCTCTATTAACATCGGTGCGACACCCTTAATTTTTATTTGGGAATATTGAATTCTACAAAAATTGTTGGATTATCTTACGTCTAGATATCTCAAACGGAACGCATCCAACTCACCATTTTTTCCGTTGTTTTCATCTTAATTCTTACTTTTATACATTAATAGCACCAGCAGCCGCGGACACAATATATTTCCCGCATTCCACTATTTACTAACGTATTCACCGCATTCCACAGATATTGAACAAACAACATAAAAGTCAAAGTCATAACTCTGTCATAACTCTGTCATTGCGGAACAGTCATAACTCATTCCGCAACATATTGCACGCATAGTTTAATTTCATAACGCCAAGAAAATGTTGCCAACAACCGTCATGAACCTGCAATCTTTTGAAGTACAAAGTTGGCATAAAAATTGGTAGGCGTTTCATCGACAAGCTATTTACAGCAAAATGCTCGGTATACCGGAGAGAGTAGATGAGTCCAAAGCTTGCTCACCCGGCCTAAATAAATTGCTCATACGCTGGAGTTGACGTCGCTACTGAACACTCGCTAAGTGAACGTAAGTACTTATACGCTCTATTTTCTCGTCTATGATTGGTGAATTTGGCTTGAAAGGCCGTCAATGATTGGCTGATGAACTTACGATCTCTTAACTTTTTTTGAAAGTATAGGCCCAGATCCTTTCCAGGTATTGCCTATACAATATCATGACCAATTCGATGCAATATCGCGAATTTTTACCCAGAATTTCAACCCAATTTTGTTTGTATCTCAGGAACTTGGCGTATTTTTTCAGGGATTTATGAGAAAAGTGGACACAGCAATTGTAAGTCAATATAGGATTTTTAATCACTTGGATTTGGTCAGATTGATTTTGGTCCTTGGTATTTAAGCAAGAATTTTCTCGAGCCTAAACAAAACTAAACAAAATTATTCTTTCTTTTTAAGATTTCATTTATTAAAATATTAGATATACGTTGAATTATTGCACTCAAACATATAAGTAGAAGGCGGATAATATCTGTTTGCGTTAATCACTCAGTGACTATCGATTTATGTTGCACTCTTCTGAAAGATTGAATAGGTGAATAAATTGATTAATGAAAAATTGGTCTGGAAGATTGAAAATTATACTCTTTTGATAGATTAAAACGTTTCAGCTTCCTATGTACTGGAGTAATTAAGAAAGCTATCATAGAGCAGTAGATAGGTATTCATAAATATTTCTACAGACTACAGAATATCTATTCCACAGTGAGTTTTAGATTCTATTTACTACCAACAATTGCCCAATAATTAAAAAACACACCATCGGGCTGCAGAAGGAGCAGTAAAAAAAACACAACTCAAATTGAATTATTGTATTCTCATTGTATATTCGACTTGATTTGGATGGTCCGGAATGGTTCATGATGGTCTAATAGGTCTGGATGGGTCCAATCTTAATGTTGGAGAAGGTAACCGAAGCGTCGGCATACTGGTTCTCCAGCTCAGAGGGCACACCACCAGTTGTTGGGCAGGGACCTCGCAGTACCCCAGGGGCATTCAGATCGCCGGTGGTAGGGTAGGAGCTATCGAGCCACAACATATGGGCGTAGTGATCGTCCCAGAGACTCATGACCAGAACGTGTCCGCGACCCAGAGAGTCACCCATGGCCTTCAGTCCTCCCTTGGCTGAATGATCGTCGAAGTCACCAAAGAAACTCTTTATTTCATGGCAGTATTCCTCTGTGATGGAATCGTAGGCTGTAACGCCAGGGAAGTTCACTGCAGTGTTCTGGATCGTCTGTCCATCTTGGATGAAAATACGACGCACTTCTACGAGATCACCATTATCGGTTCCATCAGAAGTGATGAACTGAGTGACGAGAGTTACTTTCTTTGATGAGTCGACGGTCATTCCAGGTCCATAGAAATCATGAACGCCGTTCCTGTAGGCAGCGAAGTCACAGCCGTCCTTGTCGCAAACTCCGCTGTACCGGTCGGCGCCGTTGTCCCCGCAGTCTGTTCCTGTGCATGGAGTGTATCCATCGACGTTGCAAGGATGGCTGGTAAAGGACTGGGCTTGGCTGTTGACGATAAATTATATTCAATTAGTAAAACGTGCCTGAATAGTCGGGACTTTTTATACTAATAAGAATCATTACATGAGTTTAATTTGATTTGAATGTTTAATACGGTTTCAATTACAAATGAAGCTCTGCGTTTAAATTTATATAGTAAACGAATAAATGTTAATAATTGTATACTTAAAGATACGCAGAGGTTGCGAATAAGATGAAACTAACCTGTTTGCTTCCCAGATGTCCATCTCAGGGCAGCAAATTCCGTACTTGCCAGTTCCTGAGTTCGGATCGTCGGCTGATGGCACCCACTCATCGCAGTTGGCCTTACCAGCGATGAATTTCATGTCATGAGGACATTGTGCATCACAGTAACCAGTACCATATGCAGCTCCGGCTTCATTTGTGGGATATTCTGACAAGCCGCCATCTTGGTCCATCTCAACAAAGTACATAGCGCCGTTAAGTCCACAGGGAAGATTAGACGAATCGACATCAATGGAGAATTCCCTATTCTTGAGGTGGAACATGCGGTAAGCGGAGTCAGATTCCAAGAGGTACAACCTGCTGCCAATGTTGGTGGAGTAAGGACCATGAGTAACGAACTTCAAGGTAACTGAACCTCCCCCGGCGGTGATGCCGTAAGTCCCAGTCCAAGTGTTCTGATCAACTCCGTCGATGGCGCAGTTGGCGGTGCATGTATCAGAGTCAGGGCAGAACTGCGATGACCACTCGTTGCCGGTGTAGCAGTTGGTGGCACTGCTGATGTCGTGAGTCCAGCGCCAGTTGGAATCAATAGTAATTTTTGTGGCTTGAGTTGAGCATGATCCAGATTCGCAATTAGAAATGGGCATGTCTAAATGAAGCTCTTGGGTCTGCGTTCCCTTTTTCTGGCCATAACAAAGGCCCAGGGCGAGCAATAGGATTACGAAAGATGACTTCATGTTGAGGATCCGCGGGAGCTCAGTGCAAAAACTGAGTGGTAATTCAGACTTAAATACTCTGCGGGGCTCGTTGTGAACACACAGGTGGCGTCACTCGTGAACACTGATGGCATGGACGTGATCCCAAACGGGTCACGTCGACGCCATCTAATTGATAAACCCGCTTATGCTAAAATATAATTCACAAAATAAAAAAAAAAAAGCTGTTGTGTGAAAATTCTTAAAAACACTCAAAATTTTCAGAAAAGAATTTGTAGTAGCTGAATGAGTAAACTTTTCAGTAGTTTAGATTTTCTGGTAATTTAGAAGTTTAAACAGTCGAGGCTACATTTCGTTACTCTTCTAAATTTCTTTTGAATAATGACAAAAAAATTAAAGGGGATATTCGCTCAATGAAGATTGTTTTATAAGATGTGGCTCACAACAAATTGTCTAAAAGCTGACTTCTGAAAAGAAGAACAAATCGAAAATTGAATAACAAATTTTCGACGATTTTACATACGCGTGCGGATAGTTTTTTCCATCGTTACCCAGTTCGAAATTCTCGCAGTCATTGCGGCCGTTCGCCGCAGAGACGTTCGCAAACGCGCAAATCTAGGCCGTTGTTGCCGACTTTACCTCGCGTCCAAGCAGTCTAGCGACGATATGGCCTCATCTGCAACGAATAGCGCGAGGCCTCGGTCGGCAAAAGCTGCGTGCAGCAGGCCCTTTCCAGGCCGAGAAGCGCTGCCACAATATTGCGCTGCTGTGGACATTCCTGCGCTGTTGATCACCCTGGCGTTGCGCTGGGGCGAGCGTTGGCGCAGGCAAGTTCACCCGCGGCTGGCTTCCAGACTGCGGCGATTTCTGACTGGGTAGTGGGTTTGTTTGCAGTTAAGTTCAATTGGTTGGTTTTCGTCTCTTCATTCATAGCATGTTTATTCAGGTTATATTGCACTCAGTTCCGTAGTTAGGTGTCGATTTAGCCAGGGTCCAGGAACTAATTGAATAGCACTCAATCAAGTCGCACTGCCAATCTTTTCTCTCTTCTCCATGCATTCAGTCATTAACGTGCCTCTGTACAAGTAATTGTGCCAATATTAATTATTTATTCATGGACAAACTTTAAAACGATTCATTTTTGAACTTCAGCCGATGGAAAAGCTCCATAATTTATAATAATTTTGGCTGTTTGCTGCCTCCCTGCCTTTCATTTTAGTGAGTTGTATAATTTTTTTAATTAATTAATTAACGCTCGGTAATTGTTCTACGGTTCTCAATGTATTTATTTTAATTGATCAATCACTTTAATTATTATTCACTTAAATTTCAACTCCGTTGAAGGAACGTGGCCTCTTGTATTAGCTGTAGAACCCGCTTACTTCCTACATATTCTACCGTATTTCAAATTCGCCTCCTTCCAATACTTAACACGTTGACTCTGATTTCTTCATCTTGTACTATTATTTTCTTTTCTGTACTATTATGAAAAAACTAAATCGAAGAATTTGTCCGCAACAGAAGACCGTCTGGCAACCCTGATATGTACCACTTCGTAGTCAACTTAGTAAGCACTTAAAAGCATCCAAATCTTAAGTTTGTTAACCATGTCACAAATTAATTTATTTATGTCTTAATTTGACACCTATTCATAACTCAATCATTTATATAGGCATGAATATTCCGTCAACTTGTGAGCGTCGTCTTTCCCTTACAGTATCAAGAACATTGCGATGCCACTTATTTAATAATTTTTTTTTCACAACAGGAATAATTTTTGCAGACAATCAATCTTTACCAAGTTTATGACAATTATTCGATTTCAGGCGTCTTTTAAGATTGGCAAGACCAAACCCAGGGGTATTAGCTCAATTCTCAATTTCAGAATAATTTCTCGCTTTATTTGTCCGATTGTGTGAGGCAATCTAAATTCCTCCAAATTTTATGATGTGAAAAACAAAACAACAAATACATTTCATCTCTTTTGTTCCAATAACACTATAGAGAATATTATTTTAATTATCACGGAAAACCTTAATAAAAAAGTTATGTACTAAAAACTGAAATCAACTGTAGAGTTTACTCAAGACACTCGCATCGTTTTATGAATGATTCCTCATATTCAAATGATATTGTAGAAATAATACTTTACGGTAGAACATTTTCATCACAAATATTAAAATGCTGAGTGGTTTGACTGGACTTGAAGGTCCCAGGGCCATACTTTCAAAACACGCTAAGTGAACGTAAGTACTTACGCTCTATTTTCTTGTCTATGATTGGTGGATTTTGCTTGAAAGGCCGTCAATGATTGGCTGATGAACTTACGATCTCTTAACTTTTTTGAAAGTATAGGTCCCGCGGTGGACGCCGCATTGCTGACACAGCTTATCTCATAGTAAAGTGCAGGTGCGCTTGTCATGTAACCAAGCAACGACACGAGGACTTTCATTTCTTCGACCAGCTTGACCTTGCAGGATAGTTCATCTACCAATTGAATAGAGATCATCCATTGAATACAGTAGAAATAAGCGTACTCTCTGAGATTGAAAATATGTTTTCGATAGTAATTTATACATTTCAAAAGCAAATCTGTTTGAGAAATTCGTTCATATATACTATGGTATACTATACCATATTTACTCACTATTGTTTGGTTCTTGTTGGGACTAGGTTTATCTATTTAGGAGATAAGTCTATCGAGTAGGGCTAAGAGGTCCTAGTGTCACAAAATATGAACTTGATTTTCACACATAAGTATCATAATTTTAGTAATGGAGCCTGTTGCCGTTAATTCACATCTCTCGAATTCGTGATGCTATAATTCATTAGATGCTGTTGTGAAAATAATCAAGTATTGAGGAACCAAATGCCCTGTTTCAACAAAAACTATTACGTTATACAATCATTGGGGTGTTTACGAAGAAATCGTGCAAACGAACAAGTTAGTCATTGCACCGATGGAAATGGAAATCTTGCGTCGTGTTGTCATTTTGTAAAATGCTATTCATGTAACCCGATCGTTTTCTTGGTGCGTGTGAAAATGACATGTGGAATCGATGATTGCTCACAACTGTCATTACAGATTCGTCCTCAAGGAAAATTTGTGTATGTAATTTTTTGAGTCGATGGAAAATATCTAGGCATGGGTGAAAAAATTGGCATTTTCTTAAAAACGAAGCAAGCACTCGCTCGTGAAACATATTATATTATTATTGATCTATTCATAAATAAGTTGACCATAATTAACGCCTTCCTGAAAAATTACATTAAATCAGACAGGCTCGCATAATTTTTTCGTGCACTGCAGGAATCTTCCTTCAGGTATTGAATGTCAATGCTTTCTTACATTATGTCTCTATGGATAGATCCATTTTACTTCCACCCAAACGATTCATTGCTGCTTGCAATTTGCATCGTTTGTTAAATAAATCGATCAAAGCCTGACGTTTTCGGTGTCTACTGAACCATTTTTTGGCTATTTTGATAAAGTTTATCTGAAGAAAGATCGAGTTGCGTGATGTGTCGAATTTGAAAGTGAAAGGTCATGGTGCAAAAAAATATAACTCAGTAATGACTCCAGTGAGTGACAGAGACGGACACGGACAGACGGACAGACGGACGGACAGACGGACGGACAGACAGACAGACAGACAGACAGACAGACGGGCATGGCGAGCACAATAGTGCATTTTTTGCCTAAATGAGAAAATGCGCTAAAAAGAACTTGACAAACAAGTTTCAACTTGGCGTTTTATAAACTAATTAATTAAAATATTTCAGTTTTAATTAACAATAAAATCAAACTCTCATGAACATGCATCTGGTTTGCGCGAAATCATCACCGCTATGGTTTAATTATGAACGCGTCCAGCTTTTAGAATTTACTAGCAGTCTTCATGGTAATCAAGCAGTCTTAATGGTAATGTTCATTTGAGTGTTTGAAATTGAAAAAAATTATGTTGAAATTAGAATTATTAATTTAGGATAAATTGTGGACGTTTAATTTGTAAATTGTGGACATTTAATTTGTGCTTGTGAAACAGGCAACATTAGGTTAAATTGATTCACAACGAAGTATGATATGAAAATATAATTAAGACATTAAATATATATTACAGGAAGTTGCGCTCAGCATTTCATGGAAGCTTGCTTGCCTCCGGCGAATTTTTTCTCACTTTCCTGTCGGCGAGAGACTGCATGGTAGTGGCGATTTTCAAAAGTGGCACAACCAAGAAACAGGTAGCAGTTCATCCGGAGCTTTCTTTTTTATTTTTAACTTCTGAGCATTAAAACCCAATCAGAGAATCATTTTTTTTTGTTTTTATTTATTTTTTTTCCAAGATCATAAATATTATTGGGTACTCTATATCCCCAAACGCTTTTACTTTATTTTATTCTGGCATTAGGGCCATCGGGTTTGCCGATATGCCTTAACGGTTTACGAGTGTCCTTACGAAAGAGGTCAAAATTCCTTGCAGGTTACATTTTCAGGGTCCAACTGCTCGCCTGAGGTCGCCGATATTTTTACGCGCTCGCTTGAGTTATGTTTTTTTGACAGGATACCGCGGGGACCTCTCTGTATAAACTATAAAGGATACAGAGATGACGTCCTCATCCCATATGAAGTAACACAAGTAACACCAGCTGTAAGTAACTCCAGGAATGACTGCATGATATGAGCGATCATGCCCATGTAATACCATCACTGCGCACAATGCCGGGCTTACAATCATCATCTTGTCCCAACTATAATGCCAGTCCAAGCTTTCCGCGGGATCTTTAACATTAAATATTGTCTTCGTTATTCACCGATGATTTTTATTATGACATTAATAAATAAATCTCCTAATCTCCTTGCTGCCTTTTTTTCCTACCTCTAAGAAGTTCAATGATTTTATTATTGTTGTTCCAATGTTATTCCTTTTTTAAATACATAAATAAATATTTAAATTAAGCAAGCTGAATTCCAATTCTTCATTTAACTATTTTAAACAAAATTGAAAACTGGCTCGCAATTTTGGTAGGTAGTTAAATTCCAAACAATACTCACGTCAATATAGCTTCATTGATAATAATTTTAGAATTTCATTGCATTTTTAAACAGAGGCCTAGTTGAATGGATCATTTAGTTCCTAAATATTTGAAAAATGTGAACAAGATTAGGTTTTTTAATTTAGGTCTTGACTGATTTTCTGATTTCCTCTGTACTAAAAATTTATTTTGCTTCTATTTCAGAATTTCCGAACTGACTATTGAGCTGGAAGCCGGTACCGTACGTTTTCTATAAACATATGGTGAATTTGCTTTTAAATTTCTATTATATAAGGCCTAAAATTTAAATGGGTAATAAATGTAGATTTTTATCAGTAATATTGATATAGAGAGCTTGGCACTGCAGTTTTCGCTTTGGTAATTAAAGTTCTCGGCTGAGAAAAGACTCTGAATATACTTCAGGAGAGTTGCATTTTCAAATCCTTGTTTTTATACTTCAGAGCTTTTTGCAAGAAGGTTTGTTTTTTATTCTAAGGGTACCAAAATTATACAATATCGAATCCAGTAAGAGTATCGAATCTGGCATTTTACGCCGCTATGGTCAAGTTTACTATTGACACTATCACTGTCGACCAAATCATCAGCAACTCCAGAGAATTGGTGGCTATTAACGTAAGTTTATTGCAAGATAACTAGCTGTACGTTGCATGAAAGAGGTTTAAAAACTGAAATAGACAACTTCATTGAAGAAATTTTTATTTGCATCGTAAAAATTGAACATATAAACTACATGGATTCATTAAGTTCATGGAAATTCGTTAAGTTGAGCCATTAGTCATCACGGTGTGAATTGGTCGATTTAATACGACTGGATGGGGCCAATCTTGATGTTGGAGAACTTGACGGTAGCACTGGCGTATTGGCTCTCCACCTCAGAGGGAACACCGCTGGTTATTGGGCAGGGACCTCGCAGGGTCCCAGGGGCATTCAGATCTCCGTCGGTAGGGTAGGAGCTGTCGAGCCACAGCATATTGGCGTAGTGATCGTCCCAGAGACTCATGACCAGAACGTGTCCGCGACCCAGAGATTGTCCCATGTTTCGTAGGCCACCCTTGGCTTCGTGGTCATCGACATCACCGAAGAAACTCTTGATCTCGTTACAGTAAGGTTCAGTAATGGAGTCATAGGCAGTGACACCAGGGAAGTTCACAGCGGCGTTCTGAATTGTCTGACCGTTCTGGATATAAATTCGGCGGATTTCCGAGAGGTCTCCATTATCAGAACCATCAGCAGTGATGAACTGAGTAATGACGGTAATTACTGAGTTGGAGTTGACAGTGAGGCCAGGTCCATAGAAATCGTGTACTCCGTTTCTGTACGAAGCAAAGTCGCAACCGTCCTTGTCGCAGACTCCGCTGTAGCGGTCAGCGCCGTTGTCGCCGCATTCGGTGCCTTCGCAAGGGTGGTAGCCATTGACGTTGCAAGGATGCGAGGTGAACGACTGCGCTTGGCTGTAACATTGTGAAGCGTCAAGGATTTGAAAATATGCCTTATGCACAATCACCATATAACCTACCATATGCAGTTTATGAACTTGTATGAACGCTAATAATAGGAGCGTCTGTACAAAGAGAAGTATTAATCACCATGTAAGTTTCATTTTCGGAGGCCCGAGCAAATAATATCAAAATATCTAAAAAAATGTAGCATGCATTAATTAATTCATCGAAATCAAGCTCGTCATCGACGACGGTAGATTTATTTTGTATAAAGGTAAAAAATTTTGTATGAAAACATCAATCCTTGTCTTTGAATGGATCTCAGTAACATGATTCCAATAAAAAATCTTACAACCCTATCGAGGCATTTGTAAATTAACAGGAAAAATGTTTTTCATTAAATATTCGTGTTTACCTGTTAGCTTCCCAGATGTCCATCTCGAAGCAGCAAGCGCCGTATTTGCCCTCTCCTGCATTGGGGTCGTTCTCAGATGGCTTCCATCCGTCGCTGTTGGCTTTGCCGGCGATGAATTTGACATCATGAGGACACTGGGCATCACAATATCCAGTACCGTACGCTGCACCTGCTTTGTTTGTGGGGTATGATGACATGCCACCGTCCTTTTCCATCTCGACGAAGTACAAGGCGCCATTGAGACCGCAGGGCAGTTGCGACGTATCAATATCGACGGAGAATTCCTTGTTCTTCAGATAGAATATGCGGTAAGCCGAGTCAGACTCCATAAGGTACACTCGGGAGCCAACGTTGGTGGAGTAGGTACCCTGGGTGACGAACTTCAGGGACAGACTGCCGCCGGACGCCGTAACACCGTAAGTGCCGGACCAAGTGGCTTGATCCACACCATCGATGGCGCAGTTTGCCGTGCAGGTATCGGCGTCAGGACAGAATTCAGGTGACCATTCGTTACCATCGTAGCAGTTAGTGTAGCCTGTAGTTTCGTGTGCCCAGCGCCAGTTGGAGTCCATGACCACCTTCGTGGACTGGGACTGACAGCTGCCAGACTCGCAGTTCTGGATGGGCATGTCCAAATGCACCTCGGGGGTGTTGGTGCCGGCATTTTGGCCGTAGCACAGACCGACGACGGCAAGGATGATCAAAAGAGACTTCATCTTTGCAGAGTGTAAGGACGGTGTGTAATTGTTTGAGAATCTCGCTCACCTTATATAGCATATGCATCGATCTGAAACAGCAGATGTGAAAAATCGACAGGAGTGCGCGCTGATTATGGGAGTATTGACGATCATTTGTTTGTCCCTGATAAGCCTTTACTACTCACTGCTGGTTATACTCCATCTTATATAACAGTCAATGTAAATCTTAAAAGATACTCGTCAATTCTCAATTTCTGCTCACATTACTCTAAGTAAAAATTGCTTTCCTTGTTATGTTTTTACTCTTTTTAAATAGTATCACGTTATTTACGAGCATGTAGCTCACTTTTACGCCCACGTTAGGATGGATTCAAAATAAAGTTAACGTGGTTTCATAAAGTTAAATAAAGTTATAACACATTATTTAAATAAATACACGTTTTCCTGTGTCTTCTTAAACAAGGTGGACGGTTGCTGTTGCAGAGGACGTAGTCGGAGGCAGAGGGTGGAATGCTGCAGACGAAGAAATTTCCTCATAATTCTAAAACTTCGAGGTATGTACATTTTTGCGGTTGGATTACAATATCTTTCTGTATATCGTACCTATATATCACTCATTTATTGCTCAACATTCTTTTTTCCTCATGCTAAGATCTAGCAGTAAGTAATTACGATCACGTTCTTGGAACATGTTATCAAGTCATAACTGAACTATGTAGCAACACATACATAAGCTAGTCACGTGCGCGAGAATGTAGGCACGCGATGGCCACCTGTCATCTCCCACACGTCTTCTTGTGTAAAAGCCTTCGTGGTCGCATTCATCTCTTCTCTGATGACTTCTACCTTCTAAGTTGCAGTCCACAATTCACTATATAATTCACCTACGAAGAATTTACTACGACTTATTGAAAAAACTAACAAGAAGCTAATAAATAAAACTAATTCTCTGATCTTTAACAAAACTTGCTTAAGAGAAGAAATTCTGCCAGCCTATACTAATAATTCACTATATTTGTATTCATAATTCACTCATATTTGTAACGCATCGCCAACCATGCCTGCAGGGTAATTAAAACGTTCCAAGTTAGCAGTAAATTAGAGAGGCATTTAAATAAGATTTATATACAATTTTTATGATCCCTATTGAATTTCATATGCGATCAAGTAGTTTGTTTGTCAATAATCTAGAAAAGGGGCTTAGGTATAAGTGACACTTTTAACATGTGAGCATACTGATGAATCAAATTGGCAGGAAATATAATGGAATCGTAGTTATAGATTAGTTTGACTACATATGTAACGATTGATGTTAATCCTGATACAACTCATCAGAACTATGAGTTGTGTCCCATGAGTACACAACTCAACGAGTACTATTCGTACTGGTCGTTATGATTTCGTACTCGTTATGAGCACACATACGACTTACATATTTTTGTCGGCTACCAAACTTGTGGTTTCGCAACCAGAAAATCGGAGCTTTAAATTAATTCTGCATTATGTACTAAGGACGAGGTTAAAGTTAGCACAAAATCGCAAAAATTCGACCGCGAAATTAAATTTAATGGGCTGTGCTTGCAATCATCTTTACTGATGGAATGTATTCGTTAATATTTATCTACGTCATAATAAGTTTACTACATGCCTACAGTGTCTGACGCCCGTTCACAATTCGGTATCTGTTTAAATAATTGACATTCATCACAGACTCTCGAAATCAGACATGATGTTGAACATCATATAAACTTCATATTTAGGAATTTGCAGACGCACGTTGCAGACAACCTAGTTACGACTATGTTGTTATATACATCAGTGATCTGAATAAAAACCTAGACACGAAAAGCCCGAGTTTCATTCCTCCTCCTTCGTGTATTCGTATGAACGCTAATAATAGGAGTGTCCGTACAAAGAGATGTATGAAACCCACGCATGACAATAAAAAGAATTGATATATTGAAATGATCAGAAGAACAATCTGCCGGTTGCAGGATACGTTCGACGGAACGAATAGAATTTTATGTCAGAAAGAAATATATTGTTACATTTGGGGAAATAAGTCTCGACAGAAAATTATATAGTTTTTTGAATATTCACAAAATTTTAGCAAACAATGCAAGACGAAAATTATTGCCATGGATCTTTAAATCTCGAAGTGTTGAACCTAATGTTTATTTAACAAATATGTTCAAATTTTGCGCCAAGTATTTATTATTTCATGCATTTAATGTCAGTCAACTTGAGTTTTGTGGCTCCTACGGCACGGATGCATTCTTTACTATGATTCCGCGGTCCTTACATGTAAAAATCATATGTTGGTCAGAGAACCAATAAAATAATTACAAAATTTTAATTACATTACACTGTAATGATCAGGAATATTTACATTAGTTGAATTCAAACCCTACAATATTATAAAGCTAGGTATCTAGAGGCAGTTGTCATAGGCGTCTTGAGGCAGGGAATTGGCAGTCCTTCGTACGTGATCGGTGCGTTAAACATCGGCGTCCTGGGGGCCATACTTTCAAAAAAATTTAAGAGATCGCAAGTTCATCAGCCAATCATTGGCGGCCTTTCAAGCAAAATCCACCAATCATAGACAAGAAAATAGAGCGTAAGTACTAACGTTCACTTAGCGAGCTTTGAAAGTATCCACCAATCATAGACAAGAAAATAGAGCGTAAGTACTTACGTTCACTTAGCGAGTTTTGAAAGTACGGCCCCTGAACGTGTTGTAAATTAGCACGGCTGGTAATTGTTTCTGAAGGTCTCGGGAGCACAGCGCTATGAATTAATGATTGTAGGTCATCTGAAATCGATAACTCAAAATATTCACTCAACGAACCGAATAAATTTTCTGAATTCAAGTCGATCATTAGTCTTAAATTAAACTTTTTGTGGCAATCGGGAGCCAGAAGCAGCGCCTGCAACGGCCGGACTGGTATTCAAGAAAGTATGTAACTCGAATGCACCGTCATCATATTCGTTTAAGTCTCGGGCAAGCTACATAGCTGAAGTTTTTTTTGGTCATCATCTTTTTTCATTTATCGATGTCCACAATTAAACTGAACCGGAACTTTCCAGACAAATGGAATCAGATTTCACACAGGAACATTTTGAAAGAAACGGATATACGGTTTACAAGTCCCATCGGCTTAGGATTGGAAGCAAGTATATGAATATGACATAATTCTCTCCAGGTTAACCCAGGATGTACGGGGATCGAAGGGTGAGGGCATGGTTGAATTAATACATGTATCAATTCAATCATGAGTGAGGGTAGAAACCTCTCCGCTAATCCGGCATAAGCATCATAATGGATTAAGGTAATCATTTTGCAATATTATAATTACACCCTTAGTTTTTTTGGTTTTCTTTAGACTTTAGAAGTGATAGTCTTATCGTTACCGCCTGATAGTGCATGACTAGCGCAGATTTACAATGGTTTAATTCAAATGCAAATGGAAGCTTCTAACAAAATGACGTGTTGAGTTTTAAGTTGAAATTTGAAAGGAGAAACGTCTGAAGTGATAGTAACTGTAACGCATTAAAATAAATCAATCGCTCCCACAATTATTGGAGACAACCGTGCAAAAAAATTGTGAACATGAATCTCCCCTATGATGGCTGTAATAGTAAAAAATTACTTCATTTTATGCATATGCAATATGTTTCTGAGCAGCACTTAATGAAGAGTTCGATTAAAAGCCAACTCGCAATGCAATTGAAAATATCTATTATTGGGTCAATAACATTTATTTAACAATTACTATTACCTGTCAAGACCCGCCTCACTCAGAACCCCACTTGATCAGTTTCCGCACTTACGTAGATTGATTCGCACGGCAGATAATTTTTTAGGATTTAACAGAGCTATTGGTTGCGCTTCATAAATTTCGACGGCACTCATAATGAAACAAGACCTTACTTGAACCGAAGTTCAGATTTTTTTATGCAGATTTGTGTATCATTTATCATTTTATTTGCCTTACACTATCAGCGATTAATTTTTAAAGACTACACTCGATCTCTGCTGTTAATGTTATAAATTGTTTCTTTAACAGTTTGCAAAATGTTTGTAAGAACACTACATACATCATTGAAACATTCCTTTGGCATGCGATTTCGTGAAAATTCTGGTAATACTCACTAAGTAATGAGGGTATGGTATGAGTATGCCCATGACGTAACTTCAGCTCGCTAGAATAGGTGAAAAAGTCGGTCAGAAAGCGTTTCATGTTTAGGAAAACTGTTAAACGCATTTGAGCCAAACATTAACAAAAGACATGCCTTTTTGAGCCAAACATTAACGAGAGACATTGTCTTTTTGAGCCAAACATTGACGTAATAAAATAAGCGTTACGCCTCCGTTATTTGCCGCTCGCTTGCTGTTTGCTATTAAGTCCCAAATCTGTCGGCATAAAGTGTAAATAAACCCGAACGATTCGTCCTTTGTTTTATGATAAACTGTATTGTAAATAAACTGCATCGGTATATTTTTAACTCATCGCCCCACGGCACATATGATCATTCGTGCTGGTGAGACGTTCAGCTGATGAAGCATTGGGGCCTCTAGTGATTCAAGAGTATTACTAAAAGAAAAGCTGTAATTTTTATATATTTTAATGCCTTAATTATGTACGTTACTTGTGAACCCTGGCTAACGTTGCCCACTGGAGCGGTCTAAAAAGAATACACAGTATATTATGGGACGATTCAACATAAAAGTAATTCCGTTGGGTAATGAATTTTATTCATTCAGAAATTACACGAGTGTTATTAGTACTTGATAATTGCAAGATTTACTGACTGAATATTTTGTAATTATTTTATAGTAAAGTCGATGAAGTGCGAAATAAGTAGACGAATTCAAGATAATTAAATTACGTATATATACAGAGAATTTTGATGAACGAGTTTGAATGTTTAATAAAATTAATTGCAACATTCATAAGTAAATATAGTACGAAATATAAAGTCGAGTCACTACAGAACTGTCATCACAGGGGTCACAAGTAACGTACATTATTAAAGCAGTAAAATATATAAAAATACAGGTTTTTCTTCTAGTAATACTCATGAATCACTCCTGGCCTCTGAAGAGGGACGAGACATAAGAGAATATTTTTTTACCAAATGAGAGGCTTTTGCTATTAACTGTTTATAAGCTATAATACTCTTGAAATTGATAATAAATAAGCGATAACGAGTATTTTTCCCGAAACTAAATGCCGTGTGCGAGAAATGATCAGTCCTATCCCAATGATCATGTTCTTTGCGGTTACTCCTGAAACTGAAAGAGAAAACGAGTCGACTCTGATCTCATAGAAAGAATTTAACAGGGAAAACTCACTTCTCCAAAACAGCGTCCATTGTTTAAAACTGAGAAATTGATTCTGAAATTATATTTATGCAGACCTGAATGTCAAAAGTCAGTGTTATTTAGATTAAAAATAAGGCTTCGGAGTGAAATAAAATTGTCATTATACAGCAAATAATCGAATCGTTAATTCTCTTTTTATCCAGGATGGACGGAGAAAAATCGTGTCAAGGAATATTGGACATCAAAAAATAAAAAAAAAAGATAAATTTTGGCTATTGGTAACCATTGCTTGGCTATTGGTAACCATTGGTTGGCTATTGGTAACCATTGGTTGGCTATTGGTTACCATTGGTTGGCTATTGGTAACCATTGGTTGGCTATTGGTAACCACTGGTTGGCTATTGGTTACCATTGGATGGCTATTGGTAACCATTGGATGGCTATTCCTATTGGTAACCATTGGTTGGCTATTGGTAACCATTGGTTGGCTATTGGTAACCATTGGTTGGCTATTGGTAACCATTGGTTGGCTATTGGTAACCACTGGTTGGCTATTGGTTACCATTGGATGGCTATTGGTAACTATTGGTTGGCTATCGTTAGAGGGAAAACAATTCAATAACTATTTACATTCAAGGTTGTAGCCACTAGTCTGCGTCATCTTCGGTCCAAAACGTCTGCTGTACGAGGGGCTAACGTAAATGCACCAAGCTATGGACATGTGCATTCAATGTGGCCACAGCGAGTAATGAAATGTTGATAATAACATGCCACAACCATACGAGCCAACACGCAATAATCATATTAAAACTGCCCAAAATCCATCGTCCGTCCGTACGTCATTCTACGTCGCCTTGCATGTTCCAATTTAGTATGGCCATTTTTCTTATGATTCTCAATCGTATAAGCATTTTTCAACAACGTTTAATACTGTACTTAATTTTCACGATCGCACTTTTAACTAATTTGAATGTATGTTAATTAACGTAAAACACGGCCCAAATCCATAATACCATATATCTGACCTAAATCCTATTTGACTTTGGCCTGTACGCCCTCAATTTGCAGGCCAATTGGTCAGGTTCAGTTGTGTCATTGGACACAGTGTGCATTCAGGGGCCATACTTTCAAAATTCATTAAGTGAACGTAAGTACTTACGCTCTATTTTCTTGTCTATGATTGGTGGTTTTTGCTTGAAAGGCCGTCAATGATTGGCTGATGAACTTACGATCTCTTAACTTTTTTGAAAGTATAGGCTCTAACACTGAGTCCGACAAAGAAAGAGTGCTATTCTTGGTCAAATATGGTGTTGGATGGAAGATCTAAAGCGGCTTCACGGCCTGACTTATAACAAAGATGTGGGGCCGAATTATTTAGCTTTCAGGTAGTGGAACCGATGCTACGAATTGATTTTCAAACTGATCCAAATTTATGATCATCGTTAAAATGATGTAATACCGATTTCCAATAGATTAAATGATTTTTAACCGCTAATTAATTTCTAATGGATGATAAACTGGCTCCAAGTACTACTGCTGAGAAACTAATCTGTTCTCAGTTAACTAGCGCAATCTTCACCATTTACTTAATAGATGCTGCAAGACGCCCATCTCAATCTTCCGTTGGCCCTCATTGAGCGAAAAGGTGGCGGAATTCAGGCATCAATTGATTTGAATCGCTTCGCACACACAGTTGATTGAATAAACGTATTTCGTATTTACATTCTTTGTATTTTGCGCTATAAATTCCGTTGAAACCATACCAATTAATCTGAACCCATAATTTCTCAATGATAGGATAATATTTCATTGGAGGTTTGGATAAATAGATGTACGAGTATCCCGTATATCTGGCCTAAATAAAATAAAACTGGGTTTATCACATTCACGTGGAGCCAGTGATCGCAGGCTAGAAACCAGTGAGGTTAAAGTTAAAAACTTTAGTTTCTGCGTTAACTTGGAATTTATTTTACTTTGATACTTCATCATTTACGCTACCATATATTATCATGCTTTGGAAGAATGCAAATCGGGTGATAATTAAGATGCAAGTCTTCGAGGAGATGAGTGCATTCCTTGCAAGTTATATTGGCGTCATTTTCATTATGTTACGAAATTAACTACTGCATTCACAGCATTTACCATAATCTAAATGAACCCAGGTGAACGAAAACATCTCTTCATTCAACTTTAAATTCAGCGATAAGAATAAATCATAGTGGCTTGCCTTTTGAGATGGTACTCGATTGATTTATATTGCTTTTTTATTTTTAGTAATATTTGTGCAGTATAAATTTTTATTAATTAGGTCCGCTAATTTATGAAAAGTAATGAACACTTTTCTACTCGCTTCATTATCCATCGTGTGTGTCAATTCACTGCCGTGCACGTGAATAATTCACTGTCTCGCTAGCTTCGTAGATCACATCTCTCCGCCTTCAGCTTTTTGTGTAAGCATTCTCAGCTGCACCATCGTTGTCAGTATCACCAAAAGAGATGAATAAATGGAAGTGGTCTCACAGTAAATATCGCGAAACTTGCGCAAAGAATACAATAATTTTTATTCTTTTCGTATTCATTAAAAGTTTGAGTAAAACACGGTTAACGATGGTAGTGATTGATAGAAAACTATTGATATTAACGGCTATCAAAATTTCCGCTGAGTTACCGCATTCAACTTCCTTCTGAGATAATTAAGTCATGGATAAGCGTTTTTGTTTGCGAAGAAAAATTGTCAATCAGTCGTGGTGATAGCCGTTAAGGTTAACATAAACGCTGGACTTTGAATGAAGTTAAATTTTTGAAAATGCATGCGAAATTAAACAAGAAACGTTCGTCGCAAAATATTTGAGTAATATTGTTACCTATTGATCATTCCGAATTTTGAGTAGTTATCTGTTGTTCCTCCATGTCTGTTTATTTTTATCAACATTTTTCATTTCCTACTGAAAGTTGAGCCAATCGTTCCATATTTAATGTTTGAGAAAGTAATGGTCGAGTCAGGATAGTTGGCGATAAGGTCATTTGGGTCGCCGCTATCTGCCGAGCACGGACCGTTTAGATGCCCAGGTTCGGTAGGGTCAGAATCTGGAGGAAAAGGTCCGTCCAGCCACAGCATATGTGATCCGTAGTCAGCCCAGAGTGAGAAGGCAATCATAACTCCTCTACCCAAGGCATCACTCGTAACTTTCATCCCTCCCACTTCTTCGAAATGATTCATTCCGCCTGTGAAGGCTGCGTAGTCGTTGCAAAATCCATCCGATACTGAGTTATAATTTTCTAAGCCGGGATAGTTCACATGTGAATTTTCAATGACAACACCGTCTTGAACGTAGATTCGTTTGGCTTGAATTACGTCTCCGTTGTCAGTTCCGTCATTGGTAATGAATTGCGTGACGACGGTGAAAGGTCGCCGGGTATCGACAACGTAGCTGTCATTTGCTCCGTAGAAGAAATGTTCGTTCATTGCGAAACTGTTGTAGCCGCATCCGTCTTTGTCGCAAACTCCATTGTATCTGTCATCGCCATCGCCACACTCCAGACCAGTGCACAGGTAGTAGCCTTCGCTGGAGCATCCGTGAGTGGTGTAGGACGCAGCCCATCTGATAGGATGATTGAAAGAAGAATTATAAAATTTTAGAAATTTCATAGTAATCTGGTTATTACCAATGTATATGTTATCAATATATAAACTTGAAAATAGTAAGATTACTCACGCGTTCGCCTCCCAAAGATCAAATTCAAAGCAGCAGACTCCTTCCTCAGCATATCCTTCTACATTAACTTGGCCGGCATAGAAAGGTAGGTCATGCTTGCACTGAGCATCGCATGATCCTAATCCGTAGGCAGCTCCTGCCTTATTGCTGGGATAAGACGCCATTCCTCCATCTTCTTCCATCTCCACAAAGTATATGGCGCCATTCATACCGCAAGGGAGTTGTGACATATCCACATCAAATGCAAATTCTCTATTTTTCATTCTAAACACCTTATATCTGTCGTCTGTAGCCAGAAGATATCCATCAGCCCCGACCGTGGCCTCTGTGACCCACCGGAAGCTGAGGGAACTCCCTACAGTGGTTGTGCCGTACCATTCGTCGTATTGTTGCTGAGTTATACCAATAAGTGCACAATTCTCGGCACATGTCAATCCATCGGGACAGAGTACTGGATCAAAGCCTCCGTCGCTCGTTCTGCATCCAGTTTGTCCATTGTCTGCGACTGAGTACAAATATCGCCGCGAGGGACCCATCACAAATTTGGTGTCCTCAGTTACACATCCGTTCGAGTCGCATGCCTGGAAAACATTGAGGCTTTGCCGTTTTAAAATATATTGAAAGATTACGTGGTATAAATATTTAAAACACGAGTGGATGGAGAAAATCATATCGCAATTTCCCAAAATCATAGAAATTTTCCCAAATTACCACTCCCCTACACACGAGTGGAGGGAGAAAATCATATCCCAATTTCCCCAAATTATAGACATTTTCCAAAGTCACCACTCACCTGAATCGGTAGGGGAGGATGATATTCATCCACGATTGTGCCGGGTTGTTGTGACAACCCAACTGCAACCAAACCTAATAATAATAATAAGCTTAGACAAATCATACTGAGTAGAGCTCAGACGAGTGTAATGGGCTGCTAAATATCTTCATTTATACACATGTCGGCGTGTGAACCAATAAAGTGCGTATCGCCCAAATGCTGAGTTCACACAGTTCAAGGTAAAGAATTATTATGTTGACGATTTTGGTTGTTTTCGTAACATTCCTTGTGAGGTTAATAAGCTTTATTATTCACGAGGATTATCTCGTAAAATACTGATCATCTATTGATGATTATGATTTAAACTCGTTATATAACCGGACCTGTTCTCATAAATAGATATCATGTTTATTGATAATACACGTCAATTTCCTATTAAAATTAAACTACACCAGCATGTGTTCTATTTGACAGGAATAAGCATTTGAACAATATCACGTTGTGTAAAACTAGGAAGTATTGAAAAATGAGTGCACAAAATTGTTAAAAAAACGGGCTGCAAAATGAACACCCTGCTTTTAAGGATGGAACGCGAGTTGACGGTTGCCAGCCTGAGTGTTGTGCCGCAACGCTCAGACACTAAGCGTGTTGACGTTTGCCAGCCTGAGTGTTGTGCCGCAACGCTCAGACACTAAGCGAGTTGACGTTTGCCAGCCTGAGTGTTGTGCCGCAACGCTCAGACAGTAAGCGAGTTGACAGTTGCCAGCCTGAGTGTTGCGCTGCAACGCTCAGACAGTAAGCGAGTTGACAGTTGCCAGCCTGAGTGTTGCGCCGCAACGACAGTAAGCGAGTTGACGGTTGCCAGCCTGAGTGTTGTGCCGCAACGCTCAGACAGTAAGCGAGTTGACGGTTGCCAGCCTGAGTGTTGCGCCGCAACGCTCAGACAGTAAGCGAGTTGACGGGTGCTAGCCTATGCTTTGTGCTGCGGTGCTCAGAAATTTCCTCTACGTCGACTGTAGTGGAGTCGACGAATTCCTCGCTATATCCCCAAGTTTCACCAATCAAAGGAAAAAAAATAATGAGGCTTCCGAGGCTAATATAAGTTTTTTAACGCTCCTATGAAGCATTTTTTTCGAGTTTTAACAATTTTGAGATTTGTGTGAAATCATTCAAAATTTGAGCCGAGCATAGGAATTTAATTTTTTTAATATTTGAAATCGTCAAGGTTCAACGCCAAAGAAAGAAATAGTAATATGCTCATTGGAAACGATAACCAAAAAAGATATGCGAATGCGATATTTCGTTACAATTAATATTATAAAACATATTACTAAGCATTGTGTAGATGAATGATATATTTCAAACTCAACTGTCTTACATAGAGTGAAAAATTTTATACAGCGAAATCCTAATGGTGAGTAATTTTGACCTAATCGTGAGTTTCTGGTTTCTTCATTTATATACAATCTTAAGTTACACTAGTTCTTATCAACACTCTTATCTCTTTTTATCTCTTATGAAATAGAAAATTAAAACTTTTGACTAATCGTATGCGTTTTACATGCGAAAGGTACATCTCAAGAATTTTAAGGAGCTGTCACGTCTCATTTAATAATTATAACTATTGAATGAATAATTATAATGATTGCTTGGATAATTATTCAAGCTGTATATTAAGAGGTCAGGATTCAGCGTTTACAAACACCGTGTATACATTTTTAATTAAAGTATTTGAATTTGTAATTTTGTGGATTCCTTTTAATTAATTATTCTCTGTCTCTTGGCCCAGTTCACCATGCACTCTGTCGTGCGCTTTCGTCCATCGTAGCTGTTTGGTGAAGCTTATTGAGATGTACGGTATACAGGCATTAAAAGCTTGTTTCAATGAAAACTCGCTAGACTTTTTGAAAATTTATTTTATAGGTTACTTTACTTATAGGCAGGCATGGATTCATCACTCGGCAGCAGGTAGGAAAAATTTCAATTCAACATGGCATGTCAGAACAAAAGAAATAAAACAACACGGGTTGAATCGTTCGCAGAACGATTATAGCTCATAACTTCCTCCTGAAAGTTGAACCAATAGTTCCATATTTGATATTAGAGAATGTAATGGCTGCATCTGGGTAATCAACGATAATATCGTCGGGTCTGCCGCTGTCAGCCGGACAAGGTCCGTTCAAGGCACCAGGGGTTGCGGGGTCGGCGTCAGGCGGGAAGAGACCGTCCAGCCACAACATGTAGGAGCCTGAGTCGGCCCAGAGAGCAAAATCCAGCACAACCCCGCGGTCCAGGGCATCACCAATACCTTTCATGCCCCCCACGGATGCAGCGTAATTGGCTCCTCCAATGTATGCGGTTAAATCAGCACAGAAGTCGTCAGATATGGAGTTATAGTTTTCTAATCCGTGATAATTGGCGAAAGAATTTTCTATTACGATGTTGTCTTGAACGTATATCCTTCTTACTTCATTCAGATCTCCTGAGTCTGTTCCATCTACAGTTACAAACTGAGTCACTACTGTGAATGGTCTTCTGGTATCAATAACAAAGCTTTCGTTTGCTCCATAAAAGAAGTGATCGTTCAGTTTGAAGCTGTTGTAGAGACAGCCGTCCTTGTCACAGACCCCGTTGTATCTATCATCACCGTCGCCGCACTCAGTTCCAGTGCACAAATAGTAGCCTTGGATTGAGCAGCCGTGCGTCGTATAGGCGGTTGCCCATCTGCAAAGTAAAGATAAAATTGATACACGAAAATCAATGACGAGAGTAGTTTTACGTATGAGTAACAACTTATTATATCAACTGCTTTTAAAACGATTTATTTATTTTTGTTGTGCAAGTCAACTTATCGACAACTCACGCATTAGCCTCCCAGAGATCGAACTCGAAACAGCATGCACCTTCCTCCGCGTAGCCGTCAACGTTGACTTTGCCTCCATAATATGTCAAGTCATGCTTGCATTGACCATCACACACTCCTAATCCGTACTTGGCTCCAGCTTTATTACTAGGATAAGAAGCCATTCCCCCGTCCTCTTCAACCTCGACGAAAAATAGCGCTCCGTTCAATCCACAAGGAAGCTTGGACATGTCCACATCGAAAGCGATTTCACGATTTTTCATTTTAAACATTTTATACTTATCTTCGGTAGCTAATAGATACCCTCCACCACCAATGGTGTAATCTGTAAGATATCTAAACGTTATTGCATTTCCTTCGGAAGAAATTCCCCATTTGACGTCATAATCTTCTTGGGTGAAACCAGAAATAGCGCAATTCTCTGCACAAGTTAGCCCGTCTGGGCATAGGACGGGATCATATCCATCGCTTGTCCGGCAATTCGTTTGTTCGTTGTCGGCGACTGACATCAAACCACGCCGAGATGGATCCATCACGAATGAAGTATCCTCAGTCTGGCATCCAGTCTCATCACAAACCTGAGAATAAATCATAATAAATATCTGAGCATTGCAGGGTATTGAAGCTGATCAGAATATTTCATCAATGCATTTCAGACTTACTTTGTGAGATAATTTTTAATAACATGAACGCTGTAGGATCTATCTAGGAACTTTGATAGTGCTACACCTGAATCGGAAGAGGTGGGTGAAATTCTTCTACAAGTGCGCTCGGGTGCTGTGCGCACCCAGACTTGACCAAGACAAATATCAGAAGGATGAAACGCATCATTGCTGCGCCAATAAATTCAAAGTTATGTCCTTGTTTATGCTCGGTCCTCGTTTATAAGCAAATGCTTCGTCCACACCTTTATCATGCAGATGTTAATTTCGCATTGTTCAAGGCTCGTACGGAGATAATTAAGTGCAAGATACCTGAATTGAATACTCGCATCAAAAATATTTATCACTGCATTAACACTTGAGCGCGAAGCATGAATTATGAACCGAGAGTTGCCGGAGACGGAGTCGGTAACGGCGTTTCGGGATAGACTTCTGCGTCGGGGGCGCAGCCTCAGTTACACTTTAATCCTGCCACAGAGCTAGAAGCTGGAACAACGTTAGCTAAACTACGCTGAAAAAAAAAACGTAATCCAGACGGGTGACACACTTCGAAAAAGTATTAACGCCGTAGATCTTCAGTCAAAACTTGAACATTCTCGATCGCTAGCAGGTAGTTCAGCATCCTGCCTAACCTATTCACGCTGCACTCGTCACAGTCTGGATGGAAAGTAGCATTGCACAAAAATACTGGCTGGGTATGAAATAATACGGGTAGAAAACAATGTGTGTGATTAATGTTATTGACAAAAGGTACGAAGTACTGACTAAAATTTTATGAATGCGTATTCAAAAAGCAAGTTGAAATAAAAAGTAAAGTTTGTTATTTCGTCTGAAAACTATTTTTATGTCGTATTCTTTGCTCTGGCTTCTATTCGTTTGGCACTGTCGCTTTACAATTGCCAGTCATTTAACTATTCTGAATCATATAACTCTGCTCCGATACAACACCTGGTGATTCAGAAATCTCAGATTGTCGTATCTGTATCGCACAACGACATGTCAAAAATTAGTGATTGGATGCATGTGCAATATGGGACAAATTATTCATAAATATCGAAGATAAGCATAAAATGCCTCAACATCGTACAATTAAGTCATGCACCTTTTAAGAATGAAACACAAATGATTTTGATTTGCAAGTTTACTATACTATATATGTATATATGATCATATGCTAGGTAGATCCAAGAGATATACATATTATTCGCATCAATTGACTTTTCAATTTTCAAAACGAAACGTTACATTTTATGATTTTCATTTCAATCAAGCCTTGAAGCCTTGAAGCTGGCAACAGCTTGACGACTGAAATGTCATGATTTTTTACAGTCATTGTCTTGGATGTCTGCATGGCGGATGACTCCACTGCTCTTGATCCAAGCATCATGTCCGATATAAGCTGCCGACTTCACGTCACAAATGAGCCAGGATCATTTCTATCTTGGAAAATTTTCCTTAAGTTCTTGTGTACTCAATACCACTTCCCTGATGATACATACAATTTTTGAGGGAGTAAATAAGATATGACAAATAATTGAATTACGTTATAATCAAAAAATTATTCGCCTAATTAGTTAAACCTATAAGAAATGGAACCCGTGTTGAGTTCAATTGCAGAAATTATGAATCTAGCATATTATCGATTTGTTTCATTAGATCAACTTGTCATCAGCACTTTCTTCTACGTAACTATACCTAACCTTAGATGAAAGGGCGTCAAAAAATGCCATAAATCACTTATCGTTGGTTTATAAAAAAGACTAGTGCAAGAGATTATTCAAAATATTCTCCATCTCTATTTATTTTGGAAATTGAACCGATCGTGCTGTATACTACCAAATTTGAAAATACTATAAAGATGTCAGAAGAGTTTGCTATATTCAAACTGAAACTGCCCTTCATGCGCATCTGCGCCTAGTGATTGATGCTAAGAGAGTGTATACACTATCTTAAGAAACAATAATGCATGGAATGGCCGCCCTAATGTTATACTGGTTGTCTGTATTTTTCCGACGTTTTAGTTGCGTTGGAGCTAATAAAAAAAACTATTAGGTCTAGTAATATTAAGCCGTGAAATTGTTTATCACTTGTTAGCATTTTACGCCAGGACGGACGTGCCAAGGATTATCGATTGATGAACGTTTTTTCACCGTCGTGTGACTGCTGGGCAATTTTCCAATTCCTTATATAGCTTTAGCTTTTCCAGATTCTGTATCGTCCTCTCTTTATGAGTATAGGGTTGCACTTATGTTCATTCGGCATATTTTCCGCTCTCTCCTACTTTTTTAAGGTCCTCAATGACAGTAGGTTCACAAAATTGACTTAAGCACTGTAACATTTTAATGGAAACACCAGGGTTAATAAAATAATGATTGTGTAAAATAAATACTACTGCAGTAGTATTTGGATTACAGTATTTATGTAGCGGCTAAGGTGACGAAAGTGTTCTTTTCGGCTTGAGTGTTCTTTGTTTCATATATGACCTATGAGCTATTGGCAGCGACTGAATTGTCTTCATAGCCGCAGTTCGGGAGTTTTTTTGTGTTTCTTGGTGCAGTGAGTGTATGTGTAGAAGTAGACTGTGGGCTCATAGCTGGATGATGAATTGGAGATACATAAGTGAGTGAGTGGTCGTTTGTGAGCGAGAGTGACGGTGAAGAGGGTATAAACTATAAACGAAGGGTTATAGAAAACGGCCGTAGCTCAAAGAGTCCAAGGGCTCGGTCTCCTCGGTATGTTCTGGAAAAAGATTCAAGTACAACGCGGTGGTGGACCTACTCGATGAGTAATGAGACGCTCTCACATTATCACACAATCTCATACAAAACTAACTTTCAGAATCGATTCTTATTTCGACGCAATTTCAGCAGCCCCATGCATGCAGCTTCTGTTTCTTTCTCGGACAGAAGGAAATTTCAGCGGACGAAAAGTTCGGGTGTGCAACTTATCACAGAAATGTTACCAGCTTAACCTTAGATAGCTTCTCCAATTAGACAAGTTGCAAAGGGCTCGTTCTCACGAGTTAAGGGTCGTGAAGTGGTCATGTTATCGTATAGCGTACGAACCTGTGCACGTTTCTGAGTGCTTTCACCTTGCTGTATTTACTTGCTCATTTTTTAACACTGTGGTTCTACATACCACTTGAACCGTATTTTCATGTTGCCGTATTTTTCTTCGCGAAAAACAACCTTGCATCAAACTACATTGGATGTATTTTTCTACCCTCAGCAATTCGTTGTCATTATTAAATTCTACTCGAGTTATTCTCAGTTGTGTCTAGTTTTCATGTATTTCACCTAAGAATTTCATTTTCTTTTTATAGTGAAATCATAAATTTGCACTCCGTTTAATATCTATTAAATAATTAAACACCGCCAACTTATTTCCGAGAGTTTCGAAATTTATTTTAACCCTCCTGATGTTTTAGAAGAATCCTCCCTAAAAAAAACATTTTTTTTTGCGTTTAGATCGTTATTTGGTATTCTATAGTGAGAGTTTTTCATTTTGTATTAGATATCTCATGCAGACTTAAGATATTAATATTTATATCTAATATCTTATTTTAATACCTTATTAGCCTTTAAAATAAATTTCTTTTTTCTCGGGCAAACGTTGTGCCCCTTTTTCATTTCCTCTCGGTATAAAAAAATTATTTCTGCCATGTGTAATTATAAATGCCACGTCGTTTTATTAATTCATTTCGTCAGAAATTGCTCTGGATTGATGTCCTAGCACTCTATAGATTCAAAAGGATGAATAAAATAATTAGAAAAGCAAAATAAAGTAATGTTCGATCGTATAATGCTCCATCTGAAACGTCTAACTCAAAGTTCTTGAACCACATGCAACAAAACTGTTACTGTTCCGCGAATGCATAGTTAAATTTTTCAGCCAACTCGTGTCAAAGCATCTCTCGTTTTATATATAGGTGGTCAGTCTATTATGCCATTCGAGTCGCCAATAACTAATGTTCGAGTTAGTACGTTGATCCAATTGTTCCTATTTTGATATCGGATATGGTATGATATGCATCCGCATAGTTGACGTGATTATCTTCAGGTTTGCCAGCATCGAGAGGGCAGGGACCTCTGTACGCGCCGGGGGCCTCTGGGTCGGCGTCGGGTGGGGAGATGCTATCCAACCATTGCATGTAAGTGCTTGGGTCCTCCCAGAATGCGAACGCCATTACAACACCGTTGTCGAATGCGTTGGCCAAGGATTCCAATCCACCTTGTTCAGCGAAGTCATTAAATTCTCCAAACATTGTTTTGGACGCCGCGCAAAATTCCTCTGTGATGGAATTGTAGTCATTGGTGTAGCCCCAGTTGGCGAAGGGAACCGGTATCTCGACTCCGTTTTGAATCCAAATTTGTTTAATTTCTACAAGTTTTCCAGAATCTGAACCATCATCAGTTAAAAATTGCGTTATCACTGTAAAGGGTTGGCTAGAGTCAACAGTGAAAGTATCATTACCTCCGAAGAAATATCTGTTATTTTGTCTCGCAGAGCTGTAATCACAGCCAGATTTGTCGCACACTCCTTCGAAGAAATTAGCTCCGTCTCCGCAGTCAACTCCGTTGCACACGAAGTAACCTTCAGCGGTGCAACCGTGAGTGGTGACTGTTGCGGCCCACCTGTAAAAAAATAAAAATAATTAATTGCGTGTCGAGCAAGAATGCACATACATCGATTAGGTATAAGCTCTCTTCCTCGAACCGAGTTGTATCGTCCCTAGATAAAAAGGCTTCATACTCACAAACCTGTTTGCCTCCATGATGTCCATTTCGACGCAGCAGATGCCGTATTCACTGCTGACATCGAGGTTGACTTGTCCGTTAGAGTACCTGAGGTAGTGCGGACATTGAGCGTCACAGTAGCCAGTACCGTACTTGGCTCCTGCTTTGTTGTCTGGATACCGTGACATGCCTCCGTCGCCATCCATTGCCAAGAAGTACACGCCTGCATCCATACCACATGTGGTTGTTGAATAATCAAACGTTACTGACAGTTCACGGTTTTTCAAGTAGAAGAGTCTATAATTGTTATCTTCGCCTAAGAGGTACGTTCTTGAACCGATATTCATGCCCATTTCACTCTGTGTTAAATACGCCAATCTTAGCGCACTTCCACTGGTAGAAATTCCGAAGCGATTATTGTACTCGTCTTGAGTAAATCCATCGATGGCACAATTCTGAGCACAAGTTTGGCCATCAGGACAGAGCACAGGATTCCATCCAGAGCCAGTGTAGCAACTGACGGAATTGTCGGCAACAGAATATAGCCGACGAGTGTCAGCGTCTATTACAATTCCTGTATTTTCCGGCTGGCATCCTGAGGCATCGCACGACTGAATGATCAAAGGAGGATGATATTCCGGCGTCAGCTCTCCTGCGTTTTGACTGTTTACTATAGCCACGAAGCAACAGGCCAGTAAAAGTAATTGTAACCTCATCTTTGACAAATAATCGGAGTCATGTTAGTGATCTACATTACGTGTCCTTAATATTGAACAGAGGCTTTGTTATCGGAGCACGTGCAAGCGTTCTCAACCTTGTACCAATTCTTACCGACTTTTCCTACTGGCAAGTTTCTGGTTATCAGTACCGACGCTTGAAGCGTACAACAACACTTACAAGTTTTTCACAGCATAATCAATAGGAGTTGCAGGCATCAAAATATTACATATCAACGTTAGCACTGAGCTGAATCATCGTACTCTAAACTAAACTTTCATATGTGAAGATATTGAAATAAATTGTCTTCTTGTTATGCCTCTCATTCTTCAGGTATGAGTTCCTCGTTAGGTTTGAGAATATTTATTTAACGCGGTGTCTTGGAGCCGACAATTATAGCTATAACATCTTAAAACCCACCATTTTATTCTGTCTGGTAAAAACAGTGACTACGTGCGCGATTTAATGCAAAATAATGTTTTTTCGGCAGCATTTAATACTATATCAAATCGGCAATTAAGTTCTAATTTATGTAGGTCTCTCTATCATTTTATATTGAAACAAAGGCATTAATGTCCTTGGACTTTTAATAAGGATTCCACCTCCAGTGAAGCTTATTTGTTGTCGTCAATGCAGAAATGTAAATTCCACTCCAAAGATTATGAACGAGCGCATATAAATACGTAATATCCTAGAGCACACGTGTGCAACTATCGTCTTACTTCGGAATTACAATTTGAATTTGAAATTAGTGTTTTCTCTCGGATAAATTTCTTGTACTCGTATTTCTAGTGCACTATAGTTGCTCTTTAACTTTAATTAGATTGAACACACTATTAACTTTGATTTTGCACTATCAAGTAGTTTAAAAATCTATCAAGTTTGTTCATAGTTTTAATTCATTTTCAAGGCGTAGTTTTGCATCACAAATTTTGCCAAATGCCCCGAAAGATCGTAGTCCCTATAAGCTTATAAGGCTTCTCTAACACAATGTGAACAATCACATCGAACCCAATTATTGGACGACAAATTTCAAAAATTGACTGAGCTTCTTATTTTGCGGAAAGGCAAGGAAAACTTCATGTTTCTCTAGAAAATATTTAAAATAGTCGGAGAAAATATCTCGAGTATTGACTCACGAAGTCCTTTCTAATACGGTTGCTTGAAATATTCATTTGAAGCAAAATTATGATGCTTTTCTAGTCATAGGGTACGCACACAGTGAAAGCAGGTTTGCCCGCGCGGGCATAAAACCTGTACGAATAGGCTTCTGTTTTCTATGGTTTCAGGCGCCAGCCTGAGCAGGTAACCAGCACGCTGGCAACCTGCTTTCACTGTGTGCGTACCCTAACTCCAGAAACTGCATGTGCGTCCATTTGCTGGTCGTACTTTGTTTCTCCCGTAATGAAATGCTACTAGTAACATTTCCAACCTAAAGGTTTCGTGCCACGTTTCTACTAGCAACAGAGAAACATAGTATTTAAGTATTGGTATTTCAAGATTAGTCATGAATGATAGAAGCATCTTATCATCAGTTACATTTCATATTAACGATTTTCAAATCTAAATACATGATTTTAAAACATCGCCAATGATAGAGCTCAATGCAATCCACACTATAGTTGTTAGAATCATAATTTTAAATTTAATTTCGCATTTTAACAATTATAAATGTGGGTCTGACACTTCGAATTTCAGCCATTATAGTAATTAACTTTTTCCACGTCATGTCTTAGCTCTATGAAGAACCCATCGCTCTATTACCCATTAAATGCCTTCGCTCTATTATCCAATAAATGCCTTCGCTCTATTATCCATTAAATGCCTTCGCTCTATTATCCATTAAATGCCCTCGCTCTATTATCCATTAAATGCCTTCGCTCTATTATCCATTAAATGCCATCGCTCTATTATCCATTAAATGACTTCGCTCTATTATCCATTAAATGCCTTCACTTTATTATCCATTAAATGCATCACTTTTCTTGCATAATGGTACATTCCAGCATTCCCGTCCATTGCTGGAAAATCATCATCAAATCCACGTCAAATGGATCTGAGGGCATTCCAGTGTGCTCATTGTTTGTCGAAAATACTTATCACAATCGAATTAACAACCGAATGCCGAGAATTCGATAGTTCTGATTAATTCTTGGTTCTTCACATTCATAAGATATTTGTTGTTTTTCTCTGATGAGATTCGTTCGGAAACCAAACTCACATGTAATAAATCCTCCGGTAAACAATTCAGTTGGAAATTAGATTGATCGCAGATAATTCCGAAAATTTTCCTTGTATTGGTGCCGAGATGACCATGCGACAGCACAATTCTGGGCTCAAGTCAAGCAATCAGAGCATAATTCATTTGGGCCGCAGTAGCTTATTGGGTTATCAGCTACTGAACCTAGCGCGAATATCAAGCTTCGACGTCTTCATTGTGGCGGTTTAGTCGCCTAAATTGACGCATCGCAATACAGAACGTTGGAGGACATTCAGTTAACGTCGTGACCGTTGAAACTAATCAACGGAGGATGACATTCAGCTACCCGTCATGAAAATTATAACGATTGAGTGGTGGATACCATACATGCGTTATCCATCACTACCGTTCAAACAAATCACTACAGTTGAAAGGTGGATGACATTCAGTCTCTCACGAGACTGTTGCCCGAGCTTTGGAAAAGAAACCAATTATTTCGCAGCTCATTTCCGTAGCAGAATCTTTTACAGAACAACATCCCATGCCACTCGTCAAATTAAATTTTTCATCCCAACACCCAAATTGCAAGAGTTCCATTTCACAGCAATGCTCTACTAAATTTAAGTAATAATAATGGTGTTTCGAACTGAAAGACTTCTAAAAGGAATATCGTCGTTCCACAATTAATAGAAATTAACGCAAGGTATTTTTCAATAAAAACTGTAAATCTCCAGGCAAATCCCCAGAGCTGCTGAAAAAAATACGCAAGCTTGAGAATCATATCTTATCTGATTCACATTGTCGAGTGATGATGTCAGGAGTAAACAATAATAAACAATAATAAACAATATTTTTATATATGATGGCAGGTTGGCCCAGTGGTTACAGTTCAGAGTACCAAGATTGGAGCAGAGAGGTGCGGGTTCGATCCCAGCTCTGTGCGCCAGTTTCTGGTCAGAATCGGCAAGGAGGCCGGGCGGTTAAGCAACGCAGAATTGGAGCAGTGAGTTGCGAGTTCAAGCCTGCAACAAGCTGTGGATGTTCTGCAATGTTGAGAATCGGCGACGTGCCTACGGTCTAATAAACGATGAAACCGCTATACCGCTATGATGTAGTGTACTTTTAGGGTACGCACACAGTGAAAGCAGGTTGCCAGCGTGCTGGTTACCTGCTCAGGCTGGCGCCTGAAACCATAGAATACAGAAGCCTATTCGTACAGGTTTTCACTGTGAACACTTACATTATTATCCTATGTTCATTCTTGTGGCAGGTTGGAGCAGGTTGCCCGCACGGGCAAACCTGCTTTCACTGTGTGCGTACCCAAAGTTTTAGTCTCGACTACGTACCAAGCAACGACCAAACCCTGCAGGTTGGCAATAAATCCTAGCCGAGCGGAGTACTAATCGTCAAGCGGCGAGTTGTTGGTTCGATCCTATTAAGCTATAAAAATATTCTGGCCGAAATTCGTGAGTGAGGTTAAGAATAGCTGGGTCAAAGCCGTGAATCGTGTGTTCAAATGCTCAGGAAAGCGGTAAAAATTGTACAATGTCTACAATGGGCGACAGGCTAGTTTGTCCTACTCAACGTCGTCACCACCATTACTAATAAAATCACCATAATTATTACTATTTGTCTTTGGATATTTCGGTAATCAAAATTTGCTTGGCCTGTGAAATAGTCCTATGCGTGGCAGGTTTTAAAATAATTTACTTTCTAGTACAAATACGTGTATTGAATGCGGAATATTAGACGCCTTAGCGTGCCTTGGCATAAATTGATATTCTCTTAGTTCCAAGTTGTCATAAAATATTTTTTTTTGTTTTCTATGTGTTAGCCGAAAGTTGAAAGACATTGTTCGATAAATTTTCTTACATTTATTCTAAATTTTTCAAAATTTGCTGACGGTTATTTCAGAAGTCAATTACCAAAGCTTTAAAATTTGAATATATACCGAACATATAACGCTTTAGAACGTTGAACCAATGGTGCCAACTTTGAAGTCTGAAAATGTAACAAATGCATCAGGATTATTGATGTGATTGTCTTCGGGTTTACCAGCGTCAATGGGACAAGGTCCACGGTACACTCCGGGAACGCTTGGGTCTCCGTCGGGAGGTGAGAGGCTGTCCAGCCATTGCATGTAAGTGCTTGAGTCTTCCCAGAACGAAAACGCAAGCACCATACCCCTCTCGAAAGAGGCGCCTATTGAAGCCAAGGCACCTTGTTCTTCGAAGTCGTTGTACTCTCCGAACTTCGCCTTGTATGCGTCACAGTAAGGCTCGGTGATAGAATCGTAGTCTTCATCATAACCCCAGTTAGCCACTGGATTGGGAATTTCAACCCCGTTCTGTATCCACCTTCGTCTGATCTCAACCAAGTTGCCTGTATCCGTACCGTCGTCAGTCAAGAACTGAGTGATGATAGTGAAAGGTTGAGAAGTGTCCAACGTAAAGCTTGAATTGAAGCCGAGGAACAATCTATTGTTCTGTCTAGCAGGGCTAAATTCGCACCCAGTTTTGTCGCACAACCCGTTGTAGTAATCAGAACCGTCGCCACAGTCCGTGCCCTGGCAGACGTGGTATCCTTCAGTTAGGCAGCCGTGAGTCGTATACGTAGCAGACCATCTGCGAGAAATTCACGTGTGAAAGTTTCTCTTTTGATCATCAATTTTTTTATCATTGTTATAATTCGATCTAATGACAGTTTTAGATAACAGACTAGATAAATTGTTTTGTTGCTATTGGTTTCTAGTTGAAGACCAAGATCTACCTTCAATATTCAATGTTATGGAAAGGGTTACGGAATTGCATCACATATTGCTAACCCGTGATGTAATTATAGCTTATTTGATTACGTGATGGATATAGCCATCCACTGATGTGAGGAAACAACTAACACATAAGCTCAACTCACCGGTTAGCTTCCAAGATGTCCATTTCTATGCAGCATATTCCGAATTCGGAGTCGCCGCTGTTGATTTGTCCGTTGCTGAACCTAAGGTAGTGAGGACACTGGCCATCGCAGTAGCCCATGCCATACCCTGCGCCGGCCGAGCTATCAGGGTAGCGGGATGCCCCACCATCACCATCCATTTCTGAGAAGTACACAGCTCCGTTCATCCCACATGCCAACGTTGAGAGGTCAACCGTAAGAGTTAATTCACGGTTCTTTAAGTGAAACAGCCTGTAATTATTATCCTCGCCCAATAGGTACGCCCTCGCGCCGATATTCATTCCGAATTCACTGACGGTTAAGTAGTTCATTCTGAGTGTGTTCCCTGAAGTGGTAACTCCGTATCGGTTTGCATACTCATCTTGCGAAATGCCGTCGACAGCACAGTTTTGAGCGCACGTTACTCCGTCTGGACATAAGCTGGCATCCCATCCGTCGACGCCAAAGCAGTACACGGAGTTATCAGCTGCGGACAAAACTCGACGGGCTCCTGCGTCCATGACGACTGCCGTGTTTTCCGTAGTGCAGCCCGAAGCGTCGCATGACTGCAGGGGCAGAGGAGGGTGGTATTCAGGAGTTAAGGAGGCTGCGCTCTGCCCATTGACAGACAACACCAAGAGGCAGCCAAAGCAAAAGAGTTTTAACCACATCTTCAGTTAGTTGTTAAACATGCTGCTGAGAAGCTTTCATCCGCGTCTTTTATGCAAATCTAGCTCCTTGTCAAACCAACTGCGGCGATTCGCACGATTGATAAGCAGCCCATGCTGAGATAGTCAGGGAAGCGAGGTCTAATAAATATATACTTGTGAGTCTTTTTAGTAAACAGACATGAATACTTTCATAAATAATATAATAATGTTTTTCGTCACTTTATTTAATGTATCTGATCCTTTGAGCAAAAACTTGATCAATGAAAAAGAGCATCGGCAGCAGCATCTGAACAATCTAAATTTATTACTATTATGCCGAAGACAAATTTGAAGCAATTTGTTCACTTACCTCTAACAACTCGACCTTAGGCGAAACGGTCTCTGTTTATGTATATAAAAGGAGTTTGAATAAATAAACCATTACGGACTTCATATTTATTCACGCACAGAAAATTTATTTGCAGTGAAGTTATTTTTAATCGTTATGATTTTAACTTGTAACACGCACTCTCCGCGTTAGCACACTGTTATAGTAAAATACGCTAAAGAACTGTCGTATTATAAGTACCCTATTATTGAACACAGAACAATTTGGTCCTGTGCGGCACACATATTAGTTTAATGCAGCACACATTAGTCGCTATGTTTATGTTTTTTTTGCAGAAAGGGACAGTACATCAATGATAACTCCGTTTTTATCCTATCAGGTTTCTTGGCAGAATGATAGGAAGCATTAGTAAAAAGTGATTGAGGCTTAACTAATGGCCTTGAGGGAGCAAATGACGACAAGCCTCTGAATAATTTGAATTTCAACTTCAATATTCAATACAAATTATTGGAATGTGCCAATGATTTGTTATGAAATTATGAACTTTTTTAATGCTCGTATAGGAATAAAAATTATATCAACAAATGTTGCTTTAGTAAAGCAAAATATCCAGAATTCATTTGGAAATTAACATGAAGATTTTTTGTCCGAGAGTTACCAGTAAAACAATAAGTTATATACAAAATTATCACAATGAGGTATTTCACAAACAGTAAGTTATCAGATACGAAGATAGCGATTAACTTGGCAGTGAGAGACAAATCAGGCACAATTAAATATGTTAGTTAAACATAGAGTATATAAACACCCCACAAGAAAGACAACTGTTAGGAATAAAACTCATAGGATTTACAGTAGATTGACGAGTACTAAAATCAGTACATTTTACAGTAGATTGACGAGTACTAAAATCATTTGATTGCTTAAATCGCAAATTTAAATCGAATTTAAAAACAAGGAAGATGGCACAGAAATTAACCAAATTTTTACAAAGGAAAACGTTTCAGAGTCCAGCTCAATCGTCAGTTGGACAAACCTAGAAAGTAAATACAATAATTTTATAATCCAAAATTCAATGTCAGACATTCTAAACTAATATTGACAAATAAGAGACAAATCAACCTAAAATAATACAGCAAAACTGTCCTATCATCATCTTCCAATCTCATTGGGAGATGGGAGCTGAGTGCGGAATTTAAGCTATGCTTCTGTTTGAAAATATAAAGGGATTGTAAAATTCGTAAATAAGAAAAACCGACACTGCATGGAAGCTAAAATTCTGACATCGCTGTCGGACTGCAAGTAAATATGCTAGTAAATTTCCTGTTTGATGTTCTGGTCGAGTTGCGTGATGTCATACCGACGTACGCTGATGCGCATTGCGCACAACTGAATTTTTAACCTTGAGACGATCGCATTAAGTCAGGGAGTGTATCTTTATCCTACCTGATGAAAGTGCTGACCTCGGAATTATTCACCATCGATATCCGGAGATTGACATTTTGGAAATTCTTCACGAATGAAACTTTCAACTCTTTGGACATAGTTTTAGATGCTGAACCGATGCATGGCAATGATCAGTGAACAAAGTTTCTATTATCACATTCGGGAGCGACCTCAGTATATTGTCAAGACGTAAATTTCTTAGTAACCACCAATTAAGTGAGACGGGAGTTTATTAAGTGAGATAGTATTGCGCCAAAATTCAAATTCAGAGTGCATGTCAAGGAAGTTTAAGCAAATACGAATGCCACGATGTATTAGTGTTTGAATCCCATTGAATTTAGAATGAAATGATCAGAAACTAAAGAATCTTGTGCTTAAAACGGTAAAAGGCTATTTTTCGTAAACAGATGTCTGAAAACGGCCATTAGATTTAGCAATATTTCAATCGAGGAATGACAAACCATTGTTGGATTCACGTTCCATAATGAATTTGATCGCCTTATCTTGAGGGTTACGGTTATCGAGAAAAGGGCCCTACGTGAAATGGATGCTTAATAATAAAAAAAGTTTCATTGACGCATGGTTTGTAAAATTTTGGCATAGAATCAACAGGATAATTGGCTAGCCAAGCAACCTCGTGAAGACAAGTGAAAATATTTTCAAATGAAAGACAGAGAGGAAGACCCATACACGAACCGTCAGTTTGTCTGTAAAATTTGCGGGCATATACAAAAATTAATTTAAAACTGATAATTCACGAAGAGATTTAAACGACTTGTATCGGTTTACGCTGTCCATTTCGGGTTTTATAATAACAACTTTTTTTGATGTGCATAAATTTTTTTTTAATTTCACGTAAACAGTCACGTAACCTGAGCTCTAATTGCTATACAACGGAAGTACGTCGGGGACACGCTCGTGTCTGGAAATTTCACAGCCACGCTGTTTTCACAACATGCGGATTTTGCAGCAAAAATATCCGACAGCAGCTAAACAAACAATCCTAAAAACTTTAGAAAAAGCCAGAAAATATATCACAAAAAATATTGCACGATTTACTGACTAAAATTTAGGCATCGACGAGCAATACCAACGCATATAAATGAATGTGTTGACTTACAAATGAAAAATGCAAATTCACGGCCATGTCACCAGTCTCAGCGATGAATCTGAACAGAGCCGACAACTAAATAGTAAACACTCGGACTCGCAGCATGTGTGAAGAAATAAACTTTAAAAATATTTTCTTATCATTACATTTTCTTATTATTATCTTATGAGCGATCGCGCAACCCTCGATCACAAAAAATGGAACCTTTTGTTTTAGGATGTTGGGAACCGCCTCCCCTACATCTCAACCGGAAAAATGTACTCGTTGCCGCCATCTTAGTGGTTTTTTGACCCGCTTTGTTGAGGTATCCACTTTTCTCTTTTTTCTGTTTTTTTTTAGTTCCGAAAATAAAGCCCAGGTTTACTTGTCTCCGTACTTCGGAGCTGCGAGCCGAGTTTCAGCTCGTCAGAACATGTGTTCCTTGATATTCATAATTCGAAACTAAAATGTAAGTAAAATCTACGCGTTGCTAACATTTTATTTATTAAACCATATGATCTGCCTATTCTGTGCACAGATGCGCGCAGGCTCTGACCCAGAACGCACTCGCTCACTCAGCATTCCATTACATGCAAGCCAAACTCAACTGACAGAAACGCCGTCCGCTTCCAGAGCGAGCCACATTTCCGGATCGTGATTCGCATAAATTTTGCTTCACTACACACGTCTTGCAGGTAAAAATCGCGCCTGCGAGGCAGTTGAACGCGAACCACTCGTTTTTCATGGACAAAGCAAGCACATACGAAGATATGTATGTTAAAATCGGCGGTAGAATTTCCGTAGAGAAGTTTTCAAGTTTGCAATCCTGCGAGTATTTTTTTCTATCATTAATGTTTCGTCTTTGATTTATTATTACTGGTTGCTATTATGTTTATTATCTTATTACTTCGTTTTTGTTTTTACGCTATTCTTTAGTCTCGTATTATAGTAGACGAAGTCGACGCTCATTAGCTCAATCGTAATTATTATTTTAACCTCGCCTCTGTGCAGAATTTCGTGTTTAAACCGTATCCGACCCTCGTTGAATCTTGCTTTTCTCTAACTTAATTGGAGTTTGTGCAAATGAGTTTTCATTTTGCTTTGCTAATTACAATTACATGTTCGCGCTTCTGTTTTCGTTCCTTAAGGTCTTTATTATTCTGGCTTCACACCAGTGGTTACAACCGGTAGGGTTTGTGGAGCTTCTGTGTTTTAATTTATTTAATTTTAACCTTGAAGTTTGGCTTTAACTTCGCAGGCTGGCATGACCTCAATATTGACACCTCTATATGTACGAACGAACACACCTTGTACTATTATCACTGTTTTCCTCTTTGAGAACTTACATATAGGGCTGCTCAACGCAAACAAATATGTTGGTCAATTTGATTATTGTTCGGATCTTATGTGCTCATAATTCACTGAAATATTTTGCGTCATTTCTCGAATTTATATTAAGATAGGTTCTATAACTTTTTATCTGCTCTTACCAGATATGAATTCACCATGGCCGAAACGGGCAACTTAATCTGCAAACCTTGCTTCTTTGTAACCGCCTACTAAATTTTATTCTGTAATCCGCAATATAATGGTAAGGATAGATGGAGAAACATAACTTGCGTTACAGTGATTCATTCCTTTGAATTAAATATTGTTATACTCACCCCTTGATTTCTGTACTTATGCTGATAACAGCCAATGTTCCCTGCAGTGCAAACCACTATACTACGGTTATCTGTTCTTTAACTGGCCGCGGTTGACCCACTATATACGTTTTGGCATGAAATGAAGTTTCTTCTTTTTCATCAACTTCTTTTATGTACACTCATGCCGTTCAATATTGATCGATCTTGAAATGTCAAATGTGGGTGACATGAGCGTCGTATATGAAGAGCTATTTTTAATTTCAATACCTAAAACTTCTTAAATGTTTGCTGGGCTTTAACCCTTTAGCCGAAAATGAAACCATATATGCTCACCATACCATATGCCATATATGAATCGCCTCCCAAAAAGATACACCATGCATAGCCTCCTGATGGTGTTTGGTGCTATATTATATAGTGCCTCTGTCAATTACCGATTATCTGACCATCGATCGTTCCATAATACGGCATCATCCCCTGACATACCCAAAAATTCAA